CCAGCTACAGAAAATGAACCAATTTTTAAAAAAAAGATATTACCTCATCTACCTTCTCTCTCTCATATTGTGGGATCCATATGGTTACAACAACTTAGCAAAGAACTAGCACGTATTGGTATCTTAGGATGACATATTATACCAGTGGTGGCCAACCTGTGGCTCATGAGCCGCATGTGGCTTGTGAAGAAAAAAGTTGTCCAGCTACAGAAAATGAACCAATTTTTAAAAAAAAGATATTACCTCATCTACCTTCTCTCTCTCATATTGTGGGATCCATATGGTTACAACAACTTAGCAAAGAACTAGCACGTATTGGTATCTTAGGATGACATATTATACCAGTGGTGGCCAACCTGTGGCTCATGAGCCGCATGTGGCTTGTGAAGAAAAAAGTTGTGGTTCCTGACAGAACCAGGATGGAACCCAGAACCGCTAAGGTCAGCCACTCTCACAGCCAGGCCGCTGTGAAGCATGTGTGCTCACAGCCTGCGCCGTTCCGCTCACAGCCCCCAGTGCACTGCGTCATATCCTGCACGTGCAGGCCAGGTTGCACACAGCGTCCCAGCCTGCACATGCTAGCAGCCAGCTGCTTAGCACAGGCAGTGGCGAGGGCTCCGGGTGCGGGGGCTCCAGTGGTGGCTCCAGCTCCCGGGCATAAGATTAGAGGGGAAGGGCAATTGGGTTAGAGTGGAGGGAAGAGGGGGTGAGGAATGCTTGGCTCTAGGGAAGGGGATCAGGTTGGGGGTGTGTGCATGGCGTCACGCAGATGCGCATGGTGGTAGCAGCGGTGTCTCTGGCTCCAGAACCTGAGCATAAGGTTGAGGAGAAGAGGGAGATTAGGTTACAGCGGGGAGGGGAGGGGTCTGGCTCTGGGGAAGGGAAGGAGATTCGGTTGTGGGAGGTGCGCATGGTGTCCCAAACAGCTCCTGTTTAAAGCCGGCCACTCAGCGTATGCATCCCAGCGTCTGGAGGGAGATGCGCGGCTGTAGCTAGGATCCAATTCTCTGTGATCCAAGAATTAGGTTAGAGCGGGGAGGAAGGTGATTCGGTTAGAGTGGGGGATGGGGTGCCTGGCTCTACTCTGGGGAAAGGGAGAGAAAGGGAGGAGGATTGGCTTTGGGGGGGAGGGGTGCGCACGGCATGCCAGCAAGCACATCTCAAGGCCAGCCGCTCAGTGCACACGCCCCAGCGCCTGGAAGATGTGCATGGTTGTAGCGGTGGCAGCGGCGACGGCTCCACCACCGGGACCCGAGAATTAGGTTAGAGCCGGGGGCGGGAGGGGAGGGTGCCTGGCTCTGGGGAAGGGGAGGAGGATTGGGTTAGAGGGGGGGGTGGCGTGTGTGTGTATGCCTGGCTCTGGGGAAGGGGAGGGAGGTTGGGGTGGGGGGGGGCCACACGCTTCCTGAGACCTGGGATCCCCAGGTACTGGCCCCAGCTGTCTCTGTCCCGTGGCAACCCCTCCTCCAAAGAGTATCCTGTCTCAGCACCCTGTCCCCTGCCTCCACCAGCAGAGTTGGGGCCATATTAGCGAGGCTTGGGGGGTTCTGGAGCAGTTTTTTTTTGCATCTCACTTGTGTGGCCCTGACTGACTTTTCTGTGGGTCAGTGACCCCTGACTCAAAACAGATTCCCCGCCCTTCTCATAAATAAAGACAACGCTGAAACATTTTGTGTTTGACATATTTTATTTAAAAATTAAGCCTGGCAACAAGCCCTCAATTGGGGCCAAGCTTGCATCTGGCCTCAGCATCATAACACTCCTGCACCCCCCCTCCCCGACACCAAACCTGAGCCTATCATACACTGGAATCCCCTGTCCTGATCCTCTCACATCCCCAAACTCCTGCACCTCCACGTCCCCAGTCTTATGCCACAACACTCCTGCACCATCCACACCCTGCAAATCTGTGTCCTGAGCTCATCATATTCCCAGCCTCCCTGCCCTGAGCCCCTCATGCACCCCAGCCCAAACTCCTGCACCCTCATAGCCACAAGCCTGGGGCTTGCTCAGCACCCCAACCCTCCATCTGACCCTAACATTACAGCCTGGAGCCCCCTCCCTGAGCCAGCATCCTCTTCTCTACTTCCTCCTGCACCCAAATTCCCTCCCAGAGCTTGCTCCTCTCACGCCTTTCCAGTGTTTTGTGATGGCATGCCTCGGGATGGCGTACCGGCACCCGGTGAGGCATTTTTTTTGTTTTGCTCTCCCCCACCCCCTTCCCAGGGTATGTGGCTCTTTGCAGTCTATCCACCACTATTTTGGCTCTTTGTCTCTAATGGTTAGCCACCCCTGCATTATAGAGTTAGAAAGGAAACAGGCTGGCATCAATCCGCTTAATTCTACCACTAGCACTATGTGTTTAGGTTATTCTTAATTACATTTGTAAAATAAGCAGCACTGCAAGAACCATACAGTTACATGTTTACATCAAACAACCTTTGTTAGCCACAGTGGAGTTCTTCAGAAAAATATATTGAAGGCAAAAACAAACAAAAAAGCATCTGCCCTAAAATCATTATTATTGTACATATTGCCAGTCTCTACTTAAACCAACAACAGTCACTGCAGCCGGAGCAGGAGCACATATTACCAAAGACACTGTGGCTGAGGAGAGAAACTGTTCCTTTCTGATACTACTTATCAGTTGCTTGACATTGTTTCCTCTTGATTTGTTATCCTGAGAATTTTTTACCTAGTGAATTATAGTTCCTCTGGAGATTAGCCTATATGTAATTTTCTGTGCCCTCAATTTTAATTTAGGCTGATTTTCCATTAATGCACAATTTACAATGGAAATCTTAGAGAAAAATTCAGTATCCCAAAAGATAACAGAGGCACTGAGGAAATTAATCATCAAGAGGAAGACATGCAACTAAGAGCATGACATTTTATTCACCAAATGCTTGATCTGCAAAGTGCAGAGCATTTTGGCTCTGTTCTAGAAAGCAACAAAATGTGCCCAACTTAAAGCCTAAGGCTAATGATTTGTCATAGTAAAGAGTATGTTAAATCATGTTAAATCATGAAAAAGGCAATGGTCACAAATTTAAAATTAAAAGCACTGAAAGTCATGCACTGCATTATCTTAAACCCAGAGAGTGTGGGTTTCCCAATGAGAGCTATTTAAAAGCATTTGCAAGACTATTTAAATATTAACTCAGAAGCATTTATTCCATTGAGTGACAGTTCAGCATCTTCACAGGAGCAGGACAGAAAGGTGGGTGGAAGTGAATTACTGCTACAGAATAGCATGAGGCAACACGTACACACACGTACAGTATGGCAGCTCTCCCATCCGCAGCCCTACTGATG